AATTGCACCCGTGCCCCCGAACAATTCTGCCACAGGAGATCTCAGTTCTGACCTGGGACTCCACCCCCACTTTCCCAAAAATCCTTGGCACACCCTTTTTCGCACTTCCAGGCCCACATTCTACTCCGATCTGGAAGTCGCGCTGGGCGTGAGGTTGGTATCGGAGCCCGACAACTGGCCGGGTTGTAAAGACTAACGGCATGACAATTGAGCGATCTGGCTAATCGAGGACGACCTCGACCCCGGAACGCGCATAGACGCGACCTTGTCATCACTAGAAGCAGATCGGCTAATCGACGGGCAACCAATACGAACGCTAATCCCCAAAATCCGAACCCACAGCAGCAGAATGCCAATCAACAACAAAATCATAATCAACCCGCCCCACGAGCAAGGGCTCCCATGACGCCATCCGATCTCTATCTGTTTGACCCTGCGCATCATCTTGTTGAAGCGTGGTTAGCCACGCTTCGGGCGCAGTAGTACGACGATAACGAAGCTCAGGTAAACATTCCCGCCGGATTAGGGAGGGACGCTCATCATTGGTTTAGTACCTACGCATGGGTGGATCTCCCTACTTTTGAGCGAGATTTTTTTAATCGATTCGACTATGTCCATCCAGAGCAAGCGCTCTACATGATCAAGGACCGAGTTCAAAAACCGCTCGAGTCCATAGCAGAATATCAAAACCGGTTCTATCGGATGTTTGTGAAAACTGAGCAGGGCGAGCAAGTAGGGAGAGATCTGTTTATAGATGGACTCCGCAGCCGGACGATAAGGGCAAAACTGCGGAAACGGTTCTCCCCCATCAATCACACGCTGCAACAGATTATGGCAGCTGCAGAAGAGACGGAACGGAAGTTCGCGGCGAGTTTCTTAGAAGGAGAGGACTATCCTAAGGAAGGATACTCGTCCGAGCTTTCGAGGGCAAGGGCTGAGCTGGGTGCGTTGCAAAACAAGTTTGAAAACATGGGGTTTGTATCAGGACCTGTTACCTATATGGAGCAGATACCCCCCAAACGACCAGCACCTAGTGTGATTACGGGCATGCCCGCCCCCGTGATACCAACACCTGTAATGACGGCACCCCCACCACCAATCGAGAATCCCGTACGATCGAATGAATCAACCGTCATATTTGAACTGACCAAGACGCTAATTAGTCCGATCCAAGAAAGCAAAAAGGAACAACGGGAGCATAATGCTCGATTGGAGGCTATGATGAGGAATATGCACCCATCGCTGTACGAGCCCCCCGATCCAACAAGGACTGGCCCAGGCACCTGTTCTTGGAGGAGCCGCGAGCAATTTGAACGTCTGTTATGCGTGCCATCAACCAGGGCATTTGGCTCGTGATTGTCCCCACCGACCCCCGCAACAACGGGTCGGGGTCGCACCAATGGCAACAAGCCCCATCGCTAATGGACTTGGATGGGTAGGGGCCCTGATGGAGGAAATGGAAGGTGGAGGGAGTGCGTTAGCTACCACGGACGAAGCTGCTGAGCTCATTCCGTTGGACCAATATGTGTCGCTTGGCTATCCGGGGCTAGGAATGATTGGAACGATCAAACCGGCGCCGGAACAGAAAGAAGTGGCGGAGTGGCGACCTTCTCCACGAGAGATGGAGTCGAGGGGACCTACCTTCGTCACTGGGGAAATCGACGTGCTGAATATCATTCGAGCCCTAGACCATCGGATTCCACTTCCAATTGGCCATCTGCTTTCGATCTCTGAACAGGCTAATGAGCGAATGTTACAACACTATAAAGTGAATCGAAAACGATTCGCCCTCGCCCGAACACCGAACATAAAAGTTAAAAGCTCCACGCCAGATGAAAATACGGTTGGCACGTCGACCCAATACGGGTAGGATTAATACAGAAAAACGATCATTTCCTGAGGATTAAACCTATCCCGTGGAAATCTGCGGAATGCGACATTGAAATTTGGGGAATCCTGTATAATGCAATTATCGATTCGGGAGCAGCTGTTTTGGCTATCTCGTTACGAGTGGTGGAAATAGCAGGAAGAACGAACAACTTGATCATGCTCACGGAAAGAGATCAACTCGTTTCCACGAAAAAAATATTAAAACGGTGGGACGGATGACCAATGTTGCATTTCGATTAGGGAAGGTGCATGCTTTGGGAGATGTCGTAGTATTAGATGTTAAAACTTACGACGTTCTTTTCGGCCTTCCCACCCTTGTGGCCTTACGAGCAAACTTGGATTTCAAACGACGGTCAATTATCCTCCGGAATATGGGAGGAAAACCCCATGCTGTACCTATGAGACTGACTCTTCGCACTACCATCAACAAAGTTCCGCGAATTTCTCCGATGACAGCGGGAACCCTTCACGTGATCACCTGGGAAAACTTCGCAGACGATGAGCTATCGTCAAAAGATGCGGATAACAGTGATGAAAACGATCCGGAAATTCTAAAACTAGCACGATAACGCGTTTACTACCCGCCACCCAGAACGATTGCAAGAACGATGCATCTAGTAACTACTCGGAATGAGCAAAGGACTCAGGCGATGATTATGGGCGAACCCCTCGTACGGATCTCGAGGACGGTCGACTCTTTGGAACCCCCTCGAACCCTGTACGAAGAAGCGGCCCCTCTTCTCGCATGATATAACGATAAGCAAGTTTTTTGCGACATCACGAGCCTACCACTATCCTTGCTGTCACCCGCAAAGGAAGTACAACTCTCACGCTTGGGGACGGAAGCCAGTTCTTTGGAACCCTCTGGGCGTTTCGAGGTTGAATCAGATGAGCTCGGAGTAAAGATCGCAACTAGAACCGTACCGTGGCAAGATATTTGTGATGGGATCACCCCGGAAGGACACGTGGCCATCTGGGAGGAAGACGCCCAGATGATGGCCACAGTGTTCTCCTGGCGATCGGACCATTCATTTATCTCTGCACCCCCACCCGATGTGGCGAAACAAGCACGCACGAAGCAGATCAACGTACGGATCTGGGATCAACTTTTCGAGTTACACGTTCTACAGTACGTACCGGATAAGATTCATCGTTTGATTGCAGACATTCTAACGGAATATCAAGGAGCAATTAGTGTAACGGACACTGACATCAGCTTATCATTGGTCATTCAACACGAAATCCAGACAGGAAATCATTCCCCAGTCCACTGCAAACCTTACCGATATTCCCTGATTGAATTCGAAGCAAGCGGTTGGATTGAGCCTGCCACTGGGCCATGGTCATTTCCAGTAGTGTTAGTACCGAAGAAGAACGGATCAATCCGCATATGCATCGATCATCGCAAACTGAATGAGATCACGATTAAAGATGTGTATCCCCTCCCCCAGATTGATGATTTGCTGGATGCAATTGGATGTGCTAATTATTTTTGCAAGTGTGATATTCTGCATGGTTTCCATCATATTCTGGTTAAGGAGGAAGATCGGCCAAAGACGGCCTTCGTATTGTTTGAGGGCACGTGGCAGTGGGTTCGGTGCCTGATGGGTATATGCAACACGCCGGCCACATTCCAACGAGCAATGAACGTGACATTCCCGAACTTCGTCAACAAGACGCGGCTGACTCAGGGAATGATCAACTTCTGCGTGATCGTGCACATGGATGATATCCTCGTCTACTCGAAGACCTATCACGGACATGCGCAAAACATCGAATGGACATTGGGAGCACTTAGAGACGCGGGATTCAAGATTCCACTCGAGAAGAGCGAATTTTTCCTCTTGAAAATTTTGTTCTTGGGGTACGTGGTGACACGTGGAGGGCTGCGACCAGATTCCAGAAAAACCGTGACCGTGAAAGAAGCCCAGTTTCCACGTCGCTGACGCAGGTTCGAGCTTTCTTAGGCCTGGCATCGTACTACCGCCGTTTTATCAAGGGTTTTGCGGCAATTGCTCGGCCCATCACGAACCTGCTTCGAAAGGACCAGCCTCTGCAGTGAGACTCTGAGTGTGGACAAGCTTTTGATGCACTCAAAGAGGCCCTGGTCACTGCACCTATTTTGATCCGACCGGACCTTGCCAAGCAATTTATTCTTATAACGGACTGGCAACCAGAAGCGATCTCCACCATTTTGGCACAAAAGGGGAACGATGGTCGCGAACACGTCATCGAGTACGCGTCAGGAACAGTGCCAGACGAAGGAAGGAATGATTCAACGCCTCAAGGCAAATGCTATACAGTAGTCAGGGGAATCCAACACTTCCATCCGTATCTTTACGGACAGAAGTTCCGCCTCGTGACTGATCATGAGCCCCTGCTGGCTTTGAAGAAGCTCACTAATTACACGGGCATGATTGGACGTTGGGCGGTACGTCTACAGGAGTACGACTTCGACATTATCCATCGGAAGACAGAAAGACACGGCAACGCGGACGGACTGACACGTCTGCATCGGCCCGCTAAAGTACCTAAGGGCGAGGAAATCACTTCGTGGAAGGATTCGGAACCGGCGAACGGGCCTAAGTATGGACAAGTGGCAGTTCTCCCACGTGGCAAGAAGCAGACCGGTGGCGATGGGTGACGGAGGTAACCCCACAACCCCTCTTTCTCCCCTCTCCTCTTCATCTCTTCTCTCCATGCCTGATAAATGTTGCTATTTTTGCGAAGCTTTCTCTCGCGTATATTTGGTCTCCATGTGTCCTAACGGGGAAGGCTATGCAGAATGGATAGATTGTCGACAGTGTGTCGCACGAGCCCATGGCTCGTGCATCCAATACAGAAATGACAGTAACCCATGGCTATGCCCCTTGTGTCGGGTTGACAAGATCCCGACCGAGGCTCGCTTTTTAGATGCCACGTCAGAAGGATTGGAGAAGACCCGGAAGTTTAGAAGGGATGAAGTCTGGACTGATATTGCTCTGGTTGCTACCTTAGTGGGTAACCCCCTCCAGGATTTCACCAAGGAAGATTGGAGGAGGGCTAATGAAAGGGCTCGGGATTATCGATGGGTCGAGGGTAGGTTAGAAAAGCGAAAAACGGACGGTAGTGGGATTTGGATGGTTGTACCGCACCCGTTCATGAGGTATGACTGGTGAAGACAGCACACGAGGAAACAGCAACCCATTTTTCCATACGGATTACGGAGTCGGCAATCGACAAAAACGAATGGTATTGGTCCAATATTCGGGACGATGTGAAATTCATCGTCGCAAACTGCCAAGTCTGCGCCGCTGACAAGGCGCCGATCCAGCCGCCACGATCGATAGCACCAATGGTAGTTGAGCGGCCGTTTCAAAGGGTGAGTATGGATACAATCGATATCGTGGTACCTCCTGGTCCTAATAGTTGTTAATATTTAGTCCTGTTGGTAATTGTCAACCATTTTTCGAAATGGATGGAGGCCTATCCGTGTCGCACGTGACAAGCCGCAGAAATCGCGGGGTATGTTAACCATTTTCTCGGGATGCATCAGGATACTGAAGAAATCTTGACCGATAACGGGGCAGAATTCAGAGGGGAAGTATTAAGGAACCTGGTCATACACGGTGTCGCTATGCGGAATACCGCACCCCACATGTCACAATCCAATGGGCTGGTAGAAAACGCGAATAGGGTGATAAAGACAGCACTGCGACGAAACATCGCGGCACGAGATCCGAGGCCTTGGGTTGATATCGTCGATCACATCCTGGCGGTCCATCGCGGGACGCCCCAGGAATCGACGGGCCTGAGCCCCTTCCAATTAAGAACCAATAGCGTTGTTTGCGTTTCGATACCAAGCCTCCTCGATGAATCCACGCTGAACCGACGGCCCACGAGAGCCACGGTTTGAGACAAGGCCAAGCGACACTTAGAGCTAATGGAAAGGTCCCTCCCCAGACTAACCCGAAAACGCCAGAAAATGACCGAGTTGGCCCATGGCCGACAGGTCCGAAGTTACGAGGCCTGGAACGGGAACGCAGGTCCATGGCCCCAGTACAAATTGGGGGACATCGTGCAGATAAGGAAATGTGCTCGTCAGGGTAAGCTAGCGCCACGACTCTTCGGGCGATTCCGCGTGATTGAGCCCGGACCGAACGGCGTGAACACCGTGCGGCTTGCGCCTGAGGTCTCCAGCAGCCGATCGGCTCGTCCAATCATCCGCCACGTGTCCTATCTAGGTCCCCTTCCGTCTTCCCCATCTTTGCCTACATCAGATTCCTCCTCCGCCGCAGAAGAGGACGACGACTGCTTATCGCCTGTTTCCCCGTCTCCTTCTCGTTCTCCTTCTGTTACTCCGTCCCCGTCACCATCGCCATGAGTTTTCTTACGGAGCGAGCTCTCGGCGATCCTCTGCTGGTACCACGGTGTTACATATCGGTGATCCGACAAGTTCATCATCCGCGGCTCAGCCCGGATCTTCGGCGACTCGCGCAATTCTTCTGTACTGAGGGAGTGTACGCAGCCGCTGAGTTTCGATTTGCAGGCAGTCCCCGGGCGGTTGTTTTGGCGAACGCGGTAGCGGTTCATCGGTGATCAGCTCCTGGAATCAACCACGTATCTACGGTTGTTGCCTTCAGCGGCGACATCAGCACAGTCAGCCCGCTGCGGCATACGGCCATCCGGACAACGCTTCGACTGTGGGCGCAGCAGTTGGCATCAGAGTGGAATCGGTGGCTCACGCCCCATGGGGATAATCTTTTTCCCACGGACCGCGTCGACCTCGACGGGATTCGAGCCTTCCAGCACGAGCCGGCGGTGGTGCTCCCTGAACTCATCCCCTTCCAACATCCTCAATGAACCCGTCCCCAATCTCTACCTTCGACCTCCCTTCCTTTTTCCCCACCTTCTGGCAAACCGGAATCCATCCGCATTTCTCCTTTTGTCTGGAGTCACTCGTTGTCCCCCTCTTTGATCCCCAGCAGTGGAGGCATTGGCGAGAGCACTTCGCCGAGCTGTTGGTGTGTCTGGTCGGAGTAAAGGTCACGTGGACGCGGCATGAGGAGCACCGCCAGTGGGCTGAGTACCTTGAGCTGCTAATCGTCCAGGCGTGGAAAACGAGAGTGGAGGGCGATCTACTCGAATTCCTCTTCGGATCGGTGCGGCCCGACCATCACCAACTGATCGTGCAAGAGCTAACGGTCCCCCTTGCGCAGCTGGCCGATGACCTCCCACTTGAGATCGTCTCACAGAGCGACAACAGCCCAATCCCGCACGTTCTCACGCAGACTTTGGCGCCATATCTTCAGTGGTCGGCGTGCTTGGAGGAACCGGGAAGCGGCCGCAACCCATCGTCACAGCGCGATTATCTGAGCCCGTACGAAATAGTGGATCTCTCCTTCTTTCAAAATCGAATGGCTTCCGAGAACAAAGAGGTAGAGATTGAAGAAGAGGAGGAAAACTCGGAAGAAGAAGAAGGTGAAGAAGAGGACGCAGAGGGAGAGACTCCGGAAGAGGGGAGTTACGGTGAGCACAACGAAGGGGAACAAAGCCCGGAAGAAGAGGACGAAGAAGAGGAAGATCAGGAGGAGCTAGGAGAGTCAGAGTGGGAAGGATTTGAGGAGGAGGTGCGTGCGGAGGCTCGAGCGCAAGCCCAAGCGCAGAAGAGGGAGGAGATCGCAGCCGGAAAGCGACAGCTGGAATTCGCCAGCGCAGCCAGTCAGCAGCTCACCGATGATCCGGCCCCGGATCCAGAGCCACCTAAGCCCGAGGATGGGGACCCAGCTGCCGAGACTTCGGCCGCACCGGCAAGGCGGCGACGAAGCCGATCCCCATCCCCCTCCACCTCAGCCCGTTCCCCAATTCGTCCCCGTACTGATGCGGGGCATCGGGCTTCGTCCCCGGTCGTTATCCCACCGTCCCCTTGACCACCTTTCTTTTCGCCAGATTACCACTCGCGTTACCTTCCCCAACAATCCCTTCCCCATCATTACCTTTCGCTTTTTCTACGCTACCCGCCTCGTTGTCACTGTTCATCCCCACCCTTCCACCCGATGCGCCCTCCCTGTCTTCTGCCTCCATATCCTTCTCCTTAGTGTCGCGTGGCGAGTCCACAATATGATCGAGGTATACTGCATGATTACGGGAACTATCCCCGCATGCGAGAACCACAATCACTTCCGCGCGGCACTTTTCCGAACCTTTACCACCCTCTACCCTGATTACCTCGCATCCCTCCCTCACACTGGCAACCGATTCCCCCGCTTTCACCGGATCGTTCGCTATCAGGAACTCCCGGTGACGGTGGTCGGAATGGAAAGCTCCCTTCCCCGACTACCAATCAACCCTCCCCCTCGCCATCCCTCCATGTAGCGTCTCCCTTTTCCCCTTCCTGGCGCTCGCTGATGTATGACTGATGGGCACGCGTCATGACGACGACACGTGTAATCCCCTCCTTGGATTGTCGATGGCCCTTCCTGAAGAGTTAGTAGTAGAGTTGTGGTTGCCACGTTGGACGACGTCCACACTCATTCGAACGGTAAGTGGCATAGAGAGAAGAGTTTCGCGTGTCGATTGATTAGAGGAGTCGACACGTGTCAACAAGCAAGCAGGAACTTGCTAATACTGGAACCCCCTAGGCGTTACATATGTGACGAACCGATTTCTGCACCGCGCGATTTCCTGCGCGATTGCGATGAGGGGTCCTAAGCTGGGAAGGTTGGGCCAAATACGGGAGATCGGGATCGTTGGGAAATTGCATCAGTGCCCTCGTTTCTTCGTCTTTTTCGTCGTCTCTTTTCAAAAGGTTGGGTTCAGGGTCGGATGAGTTCCGGGACGATCGAGTGATTGATTGGTCGGTTGGATGGCTGGCGCGCCGCCGAGCGCCCGAATAATAAATGATTGACGACGCTTCTTTCTTGTTCTGATGTGAGCAGGGGTGAAACTTTTAGGCGCGGACATCGCGCGGGTATTTTGCTTCCTTCTTTTTGAAAATTCTTTTTCGAATCTTGTCGAGGCCTGATGGCTCTCGGAATTTCAGACTTTCTTTCCGGAACTTGTGCTTTTCGCTTTTCGCATTAGATAGGAATTTAGGAATTTTTGTAATTAGGATTTTCTTTTGCCGCATGACGCTT